GAAGTTGTGGAGGATAGGGAGGGTTGTGGATGAATTTCCGAATTTACCCTCACTTTTGACAGAAAATTTAACAGAACTTGATGGAAGGACTACTGGTGCAACGAAGCACAGAGTTGAGTGACCCCTGCAACTAATAATTGAATTGAGGGACCAAAGTGTAACTATGGGTATAGTTGAGGGACCATTGCTGTGAATAACCCTATATTTAAAGAGTATAGCGGAGTATAGCCGCGCGGCTATACGTTTAAAATATACGAATTTATTTTAAAAGTATGGCCGTGTTTAGGGTTTGTGAATTATAGTTTTGATGATTATTATAATTTGATTCCTGATTTCCCTTCAACTTTGTTATTGTATAATAAACATTAACATACTTAGACACAAATAGTTTATTAATTAATAATTTACATGGTATTAAGCAAATAAAATGGACTTGTTCCTTTGTTTTGTCCCAAGTTAATTATATAAGAAGAGCAATACCTACACGCTAAGAACTCAACAACCTTAATTTGCAATGTTTATAACTGCCAACTCAACAATGATTTTTTAGAAAACAAAAAACAAAACACAAAAAAAACTCAACAATGATTTTTCAAAATACCCTTTAGTTAGCACCACCACCATATATAACTGTTAGTATGAAATTCACCTTCATGTATGTTTGGGAGGCGACATGCATGGGTATAATACAAGAAGAAAGAGCAAGGAAAAATTGTTTTCAAATCATTTTCTGCTTGTCTTTTTCTTAATGGTTTCATTTGTATTTGTCTGTCTCTGTGATTAGCATGATGCTCATATGGTATATCTGCTAAATAAACATTGGCTGGAGCTGGTGGAGAGCCAGAAAATCACATGAAAAGACCTGAAATTTTTATATACTAAATTGAACAAGTGTAGGTAAACATCTAGTGTGATGACCTGAAATTTTCTATGTTATAGCAGCCATGTCTTGCTCTTTTCTTTTTGTTTTGTGTGGCTGCGTTATAACAAAATGACCCTTACTTATAATCTTATAATCACATTGATGTAACCACATAAGATTGCGTATTGACTAATACTAATCTGATAATGTTTACTAATGAGAAGTGATCAAACCGGCATTATATTCTGCCATTCTCACTTAATATATAGTGAGGAGATTGACAAGTATTCAGAGAGAGAGGAAAGGTCATACTGGGAACCCTCTCTCCTTACTGTCAATAGATATAAAAAAATAAAACATAAGAGAAAGAAAGGGCTCAAAAGAAGTTAGAAACATCTATATATGTTTGCGGGACCAATATATAGTCGTTCGTCGCTCAAAGTATACCCGAAAAATTTGGGCGGGTACCAAAAATGCGAATTTTTAAATTTTTTTTTTCCAACTTTGCGCGACCAATATATAGTAGTTCGTCTCGCAAAGTATACTCTAAAAATTTGGCGGGTACCAAAAATGGGAATTTAACAAAAAAAAATTACGACTTTGCGGGACCAATATATAGTTCGTCGCGCAAAGTATACCCGAAAAATTTGGGCGGATACCAAAAATGGGAAGCGGGAATATTGTGGTCGCGCAAAACTTTGAGCGACCAAAATTTCGTCGTGCAAAACCCTAAAAATTTGGGCGCGCACCAAAAATTGGAATTTTTTTTAGAAAAAATTTTCGAGACTTTGCGCGACCAATATATTTTTTCGTCGCGCAAAGTGATACAGTTTTTAAAACCAAAATAACACCTCCACCATTTTCTCAATGTCTTCTACTCTTACCTCTCCTCTCTCTTTCCTTCTCCCCAAATCCTACCC